TCCACACTCAGCAAGCAGCAGATTTGTGGTGCACACACTTTTCTGAATAAGTGTGCAAACAGCTGGCAATGTGCCTCCAAAATGTGACAGGGTTTGGATTTCACAAATAGCATTTTAAGTAAGATCCCAACATTTGTGTATTTTCTCAGTGTTGAAAGGATTATAATGCCAGGATTATAATGGTGCTGGTTTAGCTTTCTGTAAGAAACCCTTTTGCTTCCTGAAAGACATCAGTCCCATTCAACATTGCAGCCAGCAGTCCCTTTGTCAGAAGAGGCAGAAAAAAAGTTCTTTTGGGAATACGATATTATTAAACTTGTCCCATCCTCAGGACTTCACTGAGACATTTACTAAAGTGTGTACTAAGAGCAGAAAGAAGAGTAATGGTCAACCAAATTACTGAAAATGGCAAAGAGCTATTGCTACAGGGTAAGTACGTCATGTTGATATTAATACCTACAAAGGATTATAGTGTTTTGAAACTATCAGTGTATCCGAACTGAAGAATAAAATCATTGCACTTTCTGAAACACGGGATTATTAAATCGCTAAATCCTTTGAGTTGTGTAGTATCAGTCAACTTGATTGGTAAAGCTGTTCTCTAATCTAGTTTTGCAAAGTACAGTAGAAGTCCGATAGTAACTTCACACGTGTTTATCTAGGGATGAAACAAAGATCTGTGCTTAATTGTACACTTAATTCTGTACTCTGATGCAGTCTAACCATGGCAGAAGTTGTTGTCTGGGAAAGTTTTGGCTGTTTCTTTAATGGAGAACACCAACAAATGCAGTCTTTGAACAGTTTCAGAGGAACTAATATATTGTCAACAATACAGCTTTTTAATTTGCTTTTTAATTTACTTTTAAGTAAAACTGCTTTGTTTGTGTCACTTTTGTAGATGCCAAAGCTGTTGCTGATTATAAATATATACATGGTATCTGCAGTGTAGTGTGTAACGAATGTTAAGAAGCACACCCTTACTTGGGAAAGATTCAGTACTTTTAACAACTGTCAATTTAACAGTGAAATAATGTTATGTATTCTTAAAATGGTGAATGAACACTATATTCTTAAAATACCCATGAATGTTAATAGTTTGGCCTTTAAGCTGCAGTTTCTGGTGAAGCGTTTGTCTGGATTTGGCATGTAAGGGTTCAGTGTTGTCAGTGTGACTGATAGTTTGAGCCTGTGTTTAAAGTACAGAGGATCTCTTTGCTGTCTTAAAAGCTATCCAGGTAAAGATATATCCTGTGATTCTGCTGTTCTTTCCTCTTATACAGCTTTATTGTTGCATAGATTGTCTAGTGCAACTTTGGCCTTTGTTATCATAAAATACTGGGTCAGCCTGAAATGGTACAGCTCATTTTCTGCCACCTTCAGTGAAAAAGACCTGGTAGCCCAAGGTCTTAAGTGAGCTGGCATTAACAGATTTCAGTTAGTTGTTTAATTATCAATGCCTAGTTATTATTGTGAAAAAATGAACTTTACCTAACTAGACACTATTTATTTCCTGTTTCTCCCATTTCTGCTGTAAATATAACACTCCTGATAAAAGACACCCCCACCCACCGTGCAGCACTTACTAAAGTTTTCAAAATATTCTGAGAACTTTTTTTCTGAGCTTGAAATGTCACCATCAGTCTTTTGCTACTGCAAAATAACAAAATTCTTGTTTTCAATTTTGAAAACCCTATAAGATAAATCATGACTTTCAGTTTTTGCAGCACTATCTGACTTCTTTTTATGAAACTTATAGATAATGATCTCTGCAAAAATATAATTTATAATTGTAAATTGAATAATTTGTTGCTGTCTCCTGAATGAACCAAGAAAGAGGTTTCATAACAGTTCATAAGCAGATTCAGAATGTATTTGAAATCGAATTGTCACTTACATGTTTCTTAAGTTATCTTAATATGACAGTCCCTTGATATACTTCAGGAACACTCTTGAATGCTTTGTTGCTGAAATGGGGAGATATCAGGGTTCTTGAATTACTATCAACAAACTTGTTCAGGGTTTTCTGTTCTTCAGCAATACTCAGTTCTGCAAAACTTTACTGCTGTGGTCGATGACAGTGCTATCTGAACATAGCACAGCCTTCTAGAAGGAACCAACTTTTATCTCACAGTACAAGTGCTTGGGAAATAGTATAATTGTTAATATCTGGAAAGTGCTTTTCTCAACAACTGTGTTAAAACAGTTTCTTTTGCGGAAACAAATAAACCAAACCCCTAAAGTGTAATAAAAATGGGCACGGACACCTTTTAATATTAAAACTTTGTCCTTAAGGCTGTGAACAGATGTCTTCAGAAATGATGTTGTGATTGATAATATTACCCGATTATGCAAGGAAGAAATACTCTACCTGAAAATAATTTGTTTGCAGCAATCCTGTTGTTCCTTTTTTTTTTTTCCTGTAGAATACTTATCTTGGGTGTATTCATTTGCTTCTGTGTCTTGTGAGAACAGTAAGTGTAGCAAACCTATTTTGTTTTTGTCATCAAAAAATCAGACTGAAATCTGGCCTAATTACCAGTTGTATAGAAATTTGTAGAAGATGTTGACATGTGAAAATCTGGAAAAGCATAAATAAATCAGAACAGAACTAACTTGCTTTCCAAAGTGGGATAAATTTTGCATACCATAAACTAAAAAATTACATAAAATTAAGTAAGTTTTTATTTAACTTAGGTTCTCCTTAGAGGTAATTTGCAACATGCCAAGATGCATGTACAGGAGAGGCACTCCAGGGATCAGCTAACTGAGCCATCTCTTTATGAGTAAAAAGCGAGCCTACATGACTAGTTGAATATAACTGCTTGCTCTTTAGATAGCTGAAATTAGGTTAAAGGAAACCCACACTAACTGCTTTGGCATCAACTCCAATTGCTAATCTTAGATTCCAGTGTTATTTGTAGATGGACTATTAAAAACAAATTATTTTTTAAATTAAAAGAAAAAAGTTTAAGATAATGTTTTCTGTGCATGAAAATGGCTCCGTTAGTGTCCCTAGCTGTCACAGGCTTTGTGGCCAGTGGTGCTTGTAAAATAGTGTCTGAAAAACAAAAAAACCCTGGTGTTAGTTGCTATATAGTCTTATTTCGTTACAGTTTTTTGGTTTATTTTTTTTACTGTGGTGTACACAAAGGAGTCTGTACATGCATAGTACAATTACAAGTGAGATATTAGCTCTTATGCTGCTCCAGAAATGAAATTGCATTGAGGGGTGGAGTGTTGGGGTGTCCTTTGAGTTGGTTTTCTAGTAAGTGTCTGCTGTTTGTCAGTTACAAAGAGGCAAATAAACCAACAAGTTTAAGTTTAGTCAAGCCTAGCATTTCAGTTCTAACTCTAATTCGCACTAAAATTCTTTGAAGAAATTTAGGCCCTCTGTTAAGATTTTGCTCTTGATATTTCAGGCAGGGAGGATTATGGCAACTCCGCATGCCATTGTCACAGGTCGTAGCTGTATCTGGAGCTTTGCCCAGCTTGCCTGCCTAGCAAAGCCTGTCTGAGTCTGTGCGTTCCTCTCGGGATGTGATGAGTGTGGTGTATGTGCTTTCAGCTTTCATTTAATTAGCTCAGATATATGCCTGTAAAAGCAAGGTGACATGTTTGTTATCAAAGTTCAGCCCTCTTGGGATTTTTTTTTTCCAAATGTTTTAAACCTCACTGAAGCTTAATTCTCTGCTACATTTTTCACTTGTTATCTGTGCTGGCTGGACTAAAGCTAGTCAGACTGTCCCTCTGTGCCTTCAGCACGCCTTAACTTGTCAGGTAGATAGAGCCTCCATAAGAACTGGGTGAGCGTGTCTCTGAGTTAGTCATGTCCAAATGGAAAGATCTGAAGTTGTTTTAAGATGTACTAATTTCTACTTATTTAACTGAACATGATGAAGTAGGGGAGTGGTGGTTTTCTTTAAGGGAGTTTAGAAACTGACAATAGAGGAGTATAAAACCTCAACAGGTTGAGTCATGCAACTGTTCCTGCCACCTTCTCACAGGGATGATCATTTTTTCAGTAGTCTGTCTGAGCAGACTTTATCGCTGTGAAGCTTCCTGGTCTTTCTTTACAATAGTCTCACTGTGCCTAATTGTCCAGCTTTTATTTATGCTCACTAATCTTTCTTATAGTTACTTCCATATATCTGTTTTGTTTGTAAATCTCTAAATTCTGGTTTGCATCCCTCTGTTACTAAAGAAAACATAATGGCTTGCACAAAAGACTTGTACTTGGCATGCTCAAGCAGTAAAACTGTGTCTCTCTGGCCTAATCCTCTCCAGAAGGAGAGCAGTAACGTGAACACTATCCTCTCTGTTCTTAATCTTTTTTTTTTTTTTTTTTTTTTTTAAACTTTTGGAGAAGGACAAAATAAAATCGGTCAGTAGAGTATCTGCTGCAGTTTTGCCACAGTGTTTTTTCTTGCCAACGAGATGAAAATTTGGACAACCATTTATTGCTTTTATTCTGTCTCCTGGTGTTGTGTATTTGCATGTGTGAGAGGATTCACACTTAAGATTTTTGGATTTTGTTCCATTGACCATCTTTGATGTTTTATGGAACTCAGGTGATCCACACGATGATGAACTCTGTTCTTCAGACCTGTGTCTGTACCTGAAGTAGGGGAGCTCTAAAAAGTTCAGGGAACTATGGTGAAGATGTTTAGATAAACTGTATAATTGTAGTGGTGGCTACAAATAGAATTGTCTGGTGTGGAAGAGAACTGGTAGCATGCAGAAATAAAATGCCTTAATTATTGAATGATAATGAAGACTGAGAAGCAGTGAAACAAGTGAAGAGGAAACATTAACCTACTTGGAATATAGCTTGCCTGCCTCAAAAACTGAGATTAATTAGGGACTAAGGCCAATAAATTATTCTCTGTTGCAGAGTATGTAACTCCCTTTTTAAGAAAAGTTCCTTGCAAAACAATCTTGCATGATGAAAACTAATGCCAAATAGCTACTGTCCAAGACCAAAGACTTGGTAACTAAGAATCTGGAAAACAGTACGCATGTCACAAGACGGTGCTTGCCCAGGAGACTTCATGCTTCCGAATGTAAACTGTCCTCCTGTGAAGCTGGGGCAAGAATTCCCCGGAGTAGCTTTCCGAGGTCACCACCTCTCTCTTCCAAAACTGATGGAGATAACGAGCTCTTCCCATGCAAGTAAGTCTCTTTGAAGCTGCTCATTGGCAGACAGAATATGCTAGACAATTTTTTTTTCTTGTAGCACATATATACTGTATACTGTGCTGCAGCCAAAGTATGTTTGTGATTCTTGTTGAAATGGGTCATCTGCCATAGATTTTAGTCATGAAATTGGAGAGAGAGTATGGAAAGAGAGAAAATGAGGTGAACTCTTTGATATTGCAATTTAGAACACGTCTGAAAAGTAGACATTGCACTAAACATGCAACTGCGGTGCAGATGATTTTTGACTATCACTTAATTAGCTGTATTTAACTTAGAAAGGTAGTACTCTTCCTGAATCGGCACACATCTCTGCAAAACCTAGTTCTACATATTGGTGAAGTTAAAATAGAATGTAATTGGAATCAACTTGAATATAAACTTTTATCCTTTACTTCCTGTTGAATGTGTTGAGTGTTTGAGAGGGGGTTTAATGTGGCATTCATTGGATCAGTGGATTCATGCAGTTTGAAAGTTCACTTTTATTTTTCCGTTGTCTTCAGTAATTCATAATCTGTATTTATTTTCAGGATAGTGGAGCTAGTGCTGCAAATGTGATAAAAAGCCAGCTGTATTTTTCTATAATCTGAACTTTTCCATCGAGAGAAAAATGTACTCTAGCAATTGCAAAAACAATACTCTATTTCCAGTCACTAGTTCTACTGATTTTTCTATTGCTTTGTTTGGGCTTCTTATGTGCAGGAAGATGTATAAAGCAAGCTTGCCAAGGAGTCAAATTCAGAGGGAAAGTCTAATGGGAAGGAGTTGGGTGATGCTTGAAAATGCAAATGGAGAATGAGAGGAGCTGGAGAGCCAGCTTCTGAAGAGACCAATTATGAAAAATTTACTGGAGGTAAAATGAAGATGCATCTAAAAAATAATGCCAGTTAACTTGAAGATTCATCTTAAGTCACTGGTCTTTGTCAGGCTCAGTGAGAGGGTATGAAGTAATCTTTCTTAACTAAGGATAGGTTATACTGATGACAGTAATGAGATGCTTCGCATTTTGAAAGAGCAAAACAATTGTCATCTTATATAAAAATCAGAGATTGAATGTATGAGTTATCTTGACAACAGTGTGATTTTATACGTAAAAAGGGCGAGAGCTTCTGTGAGCATTACAAACAAACGCCATTATACTTTTGAGACAGTGTTAAGATGCATCTGTAAGGTAAGGTTTCTGATGGAAGAACGTGGAAAACTGGACAGCAGAGAAGGGATTAAAAAAAAAAATCACTTTGATTTTTCAAACATTCAGTTACCAGAGCAAGTATATAGGAAATGAGAAAAGAAACCAAAGTTACTCATGACCTTGCTGTGTTTGGTAAGTGTAATGATGAGAAGATACTGAACAGACCGAAGTCTTGGAAGAATCAAGTTGACAGTATTTTTGTTGATGTTGTTATTATCACTTGCACCTGTGTCCAATTTAATGAGTAAAACCTGTATGACAGATAACTCAATTTCCTGAGCAAAAATCGCACATGTACTTCAGCCACAGTAGGACAGAATGGACTGCAGCACAGCTTACAGTACATACTGCAACAAAATTCATCTTGTATACTCCTGACAATATAGACATCACAAATACAGCAAGCCAGTAGTTTTTGCAGAGTTTTAGTAAATATTTACCTTTCTTGAAGTTGCTAAACATTTTAGTTTGATGCTGTGTTGCTAAGCTTACTGACATTTTTCTAGTACTGCAAAAAATTCTACAGTGTACAGCAACATGAACATCTCTTAGGTGTAGGTGGGGTCAGCACATAAGCTGAGGCCCCTTGTGCAAGGCAACATTTTGGTGCTAGTTGTCAGAGCTGTGAGACAAGCAATAGATGCATAAACGCAGTGGGCTGCTGCCTACAGATATTTTTGGTCAGCTAAGTGTTTATTTCCAGAAGCTTAAAAAGACCTCTGTGAATATAGTTTTTCCAGCAGTTTTGTTCAAAGCACTTGTGAGCAATTTACAGCAAATTGTGCTTCTTTCTATATATCCCTTTCCCTCAAGAAGAAAAGTACTGAAATTTTCATAATTTTTTTGCTTATAGCAATTACTTTTGTAACAGTGCTTACTGTGTGTAGTGGAGGAGTCTTCTATTTGTGTGTTAGGTTCATTTTCTAAGTTGATTTAATCTCAAAATGCAGATATACTTTCACTTCAATTATATTAATTTACTGTAACCTTGTTGAATTGATTACCTTAATCATTGAAAATATGTACCAAAAAATCCAGCTGTTCAATCTCTTGCTTTTTAATGTATTCAGTGTACAACGCTTCTTTAACTTGCAGTATTTTCATTTGAGATCATAAGATTTTTCTTTAATTTTCAATTTCTTTAGTGTAAATAGAAAAAAAAAAAAGTATTCCTTGGATTGATCCTTTCTTAAGGAGATACTCTTGGAAATCTCTGTAGTTTGTGTTGGCTGAAAGAGCAGGGAGTGAAGGGTTATATACAAAAAAAGGGATTTTTGTTTGTCAAGCAGAGTGTAATGGGAGCCACAGGCCTGAGAACTTCTGAATACTGGAATCAATTTAATATTTTTTTTTCTTTTTTTTTCTTTTTTCTTTTTTTCTCCAAAGCTCATTTTATACTGTAGTGCCTGGGTTTTTTTGTAAAGTTACTAATTATTACAAAAACCTACTGATCTTCCATGTTATTTTTTTTTTAACTGTTGCAGATGTGAATGCTTTACTTTTACCTCAGGTTAGGCTTTAACTTAAAAGCTTAAGAGGAGTCTGAAGAATGCACAGTCTAAATGTTCAAAATACAGCAAGGATAAAGGCATCATGAAGTGAGCACATTTGATACCTAGGATTAGTGTGCATAGTAAAAAAAACAACAAAACCCCCTGCCACCAACAAAAAAAAAAGAGTGGGATTTGGTTAATATTTACCTGTATTGTAATAGCAGAATCTAGTCTTTGAATTGTTCATTCTTTCTAAATCTATCTAATCTGTTTGGACATGCAGCTCAAAAGTTGCTCTTAGCTTTAGTAGTGATTTCTAAGTACACAGAAACTATTTTCACTTGTCACCATTCTATATAAGAAATAGTTATTAAAGGGAACATTAGAGAATAAAAGTGTTGTAGGTGTGACCCTACTTGAACATTTTACTTTGAGGTGACTTTTTACTCTATTTTAATGAAAAATAGAGAAGTAGAAATAGAAAAAATTCTACTTTGAGAGTAACACCTCTGATAATGTTGCATAACTTTGGTCAGTTAAATCTGATTATTTTTAATATCTAAACAAGTTTATTCCCTATGGTTTTTGTCAAGGTTACAAAGTTTCCTTGGCAGAGCTGTCTTTCTGTTGTTATCAAAACCTGCTTTTTTTTTTTTTTTTTTTTTTCCTTTGCAGGTCATGGCAACCATAAAGAAAACAGTCCTTTCCTGAACAGTTCAGAAGCTGTCAAGGGAGGTGATTACTATGACAGAAATCTGGCCTTGTTTGAGGTAATTTCTAACTGTTTTTCATACTCTACTGTGATTTGTGATCTTCCAAGATGGGAGGGATCAAGCACATCATATTAAGTGGAAGACAGATCATTGCAAAGTTCCAGGCACTGGGTTGGTACCTAACTCTTGCTGCGTGTCAAATCTAAAAGCCTTTTGGTGTGTTTAGAGGTATGTCTACGATGTAGCAAAAAATTAATGTGCCAGCAGTGACATGAATAATTTAAACTGTGAAGTTGTGGCACTGTGGGCTAATCATTGTGGAAAACAAGCACAGGTTGATTCACTCTGTTAAGAAGGACCATATTATTCTGTAGGAGAGTGCCTAAAATGAGGTACTCAGCCTGGGTATCCTGTATTACAGCTGTGGTAGGTCAGTAGTACAGATTTCTCCCCCAGATGCTTTTTTGTGGGTGTGTGTCTGTTGACTGAGGTACCACTAGGCAGAGATACCCTGTGTGATAAAAAAAGCTCTAATATTATGACCACTGGGAACTGTGTGGCAGAGAGGTATTACTGTTTCCATGTGAAAGTAAGGAGGACCAGACTCCCATGCAGGAGGCCAGTTAGAGCCACACCAAGTCCGGCAGAATCCTCCTCACTGCATTAAATGCAAATACATCATGGTGCACTAAGACCAAGTTTCTGGAAAATGTTTTCAGAAGCTCAGGTGCTGGTAAGTGGTGCAGAGAGCCTTTTTGTGGCTCTGCAGCAGCTTTCCAGCTGAACTGCTGAGTTACAGCTTCACAGTAATGCTGGTAACATGTACCCTGTGTTTCCCATTCTGGGAACTCGGTGTGGGGCAGCCAGAGCTGGCTCTACACCCCGCTGGGTTGGCTCCTGCAGAGTTCAGCTGCATGGCATTGAGCCTGGACAAGTATAATGAACCTGCTGCTAGATAGGAACTCACTGTGGAAATGCTACAGCCGTGTTTGCTGGCACTGTGGTTGAGCTAAAAGGCTTGGAAGCATGCTCCCAGCTGTGGTGTCCCCTCCCTCCAAGGCGTGGTAAATCCATGATCAGGATAAACCCACTTGTAGGTCATGGAGAGTTTGCCACTGGTGGCATGGCTGCTGCTAGTCACACACCTGCCATTTTCATAAGCAATAATACAGTGCCACACCAGGTCTGCAGGCTCTTTCTGTGGTACTAGAGAGAGAGAGAGAGAGGGAGGAGCATCCCGAAGGTGGTGCTGCTCAACTGAACAGCAAGCACATGTTGCCTCAGCCTCTTTCTGTAAAGAATTGTAATCACGTGTTTAAAGATGTGAACTGCAGATCAGATCGGAGGAAGGAGTAAGAAAAGGTGTGTTTGGCTCATGGCATCTGTTCTGCCTTTTGGGGTCAGTTTCTGCATCAGGCATAGAGCATGTGACACTGCTGATCCTACCAGGAACTGTTCATGATGATACATGAAGATATGGTAAAACTCCAGAAAGTGAAATCTTTCTTAATTGTTTTTTATTTCCTACGTAGAAGTTTTTACCATGCATTTAGACATGTAAGATGTTTTAATTTCAAAGAGAAAAGGGAAGGGAATGATTTTGTTCTGATTTTTTTTTTTTCCCTTTTTCCCCTTGAACTTACTTTCTGATGCAGAAGTTGGATGGGATGCACATAAAGGTGTGAGGTCTCTGTACTCATGGCTTTTGAGATTTTTATGTAGATCCAGGTGAATTAGATGACATAGGTTGAAAAATGTAATAAAATTATCAGAGTGTGTGCATGCCTACAATGACCAGAGTTTAATCACTAAATCTCTGATACTTTTTTGGCAACTTGAGCTTCTTAAAAGTATATCAGTTGATGTAAGCTGACATTAGAGAGATATGCAAGGTACGCATACATTTTATTACAGTCCCAAGGCTCAGACTTCTTTATTGCTGTGATTCATGCTTTTTAGCACCTAAGGAGAAGGGTGCATACAGTGCAGACCTATTGATGTAGCCTTTTCCTGTCAGAGTTGCCCTCCTTTCAGAAAATTAAGTCCTCTCATCAGTGGTTTAGGCACAATGAAATATTCTGTCATTCCCTGGATGATTTTCCTGGTGTGTGTCCTGGCAGCCTCAGGCATGCCAAGGCAGGCATGACCCTAGCCACTCTTAATAAACTCTGTGAATTGCAGAACTTGACTAGTTGTCTTCTTCCACAGGAAGAACTTGATATACGACCAAAAGTGTCATCTCTGCTTGGCAAGTTGGTCAACTACACAAATCTTACCCAAGGTGTTAAGGAACATGAAGAAGCAGAAAGCACTGATGGCTCGAAGAAGAAAGTATCAAAAGTAAGTAAAGATTCTCTCAGTGGCCAGCTCATGAATGAGATGATTCCCTATGTGATTTTTGGGGATCTGGTCTCCTTTCTGCTTTATCTTAACTTCTGCCAGGAGCCATGACAGTGTTGCAAAGAAATAACATAGAAGCCTGTAGGTAACCAGATGTTACCAAAGAGTTGGTGCAGATGTCATGGGCAAGCACTGTGCATACATTTGGTATGGATAGGCTTTTAGCAGTGACTTGAATAAACAACAAAGCAAAACCTCCAGCTTTTTCGTAAGTGCTGTTTTAGCTACCCAGCAGTATCTGACACATCTCTACAAGCCTTGTAGGTATGACACAGGACTTGGAGACAACACCCTCGTAGAGTGGTGGGTGGAGGTCAGATCCAACACCCTGGGGCAGTTCAAGAGTCATTCTGGTGTTAGGCACTTAGGCAACTGAATTCTGCCCCAAAGGATCTGCATTTAGATGGTTAGCCCATTTGGGCTGGCCTTGTAATAACTAGAAGGTAGTTAGATTTCTATCAGGAAGGCTGTGTTCTTACTGCTCTTCTTACTGCTCTGGCAGTCCAGCAAGTGTTTCAGTGCTAAACCCTCAAGTGGTATGGTTGCATTTTATGGCACTTGCAGGCCTGTCAGTTTGCTTGCAAATTTTGTTCAAAGAAAGTAAGTTTTCCAAAAAGCTAAGATAAGACTAAATTCTACAGATTTTATAGTACTGCCCTGTCAAGTTTGAGCTATTTCAGAAAGAGATGGCAATGATAATGTTAAAAACCAGCACATTGTTCTCAAAGAGAATGCATATTACCCCATGCTGAATACAGGATTCCAGCTCCCTTACTCACACTTCATCTCCTTGCTCTGCATGGTATTACACTGGGGTTAACAAAGTTGTTTTGTCAATGTGAAGCTTAAAATTCAATTTTATCTGAGACTACATGCACTAAAGTGCTATAATATTGTGGTTAATATGACATCATTACAAGACTGAGTGGAGGTCATCTGGGTGCCATAACTGCATTCTTGTACTACAAGCTTACATTAAAAAGCAATTTAAATATTTTTAACTGTGAATTTCTTTAGTGTGGTACTTGGTGTTATAGTAATTGCTGAGTCTGTCCGAAGTTTTTTACCTTCACATTACTAATATGAAATGTCAGCTGTGTCTCTGTTTTAGCATGCTTTTGGTGAGACTAATGTCAGGCATCAACCGTTAATATTGTGTTACTGCATAATCTAAAATACTTTTCAGCCTCAGTATCAAAAGCAGACTGATTATTACCCTAACAAAGGTACAGTGGAGTGGGATACAATAGGTACTGTCCTTACTATTTAGAGAAAGTTCTGATTGCTTTTGCTGTTTAATTCCTTATTGATTTCCTGACCAGAATACCAGGGTAAGATGAAGTCTAATCTGAAAGCTAGTCACTTACTACTTCCCTGTTGCAAAAATAATTGGGAGAATTTGGTGATGGGTCTGTAGTTTAAAGTTGATTAAAGCAAATGCAGTATAGATTCATGAAGTAAAAATGGAGCAAATAACAGGAAACTGAGAAGTTGATTTAAATCCCTGGTAGAGTAACATGTAATGTTTGGTGTTAGTATGTCTATGTCTGAGTATAGTTTATGTAAACACTTGCAGATTTTCAGACTCTTTACTGCCATTAAAAAGGACTGTTACCCTTGTTAAAGCCATGCTTCTGTGGTAAAATAGAGTTTGGGCTTAACACTTGGGTTGTCCTGAACTGTGCTTTACTGTGTCCCCAAAATGTGTTTGCAGACTTCTCAGATGTTTTCTGTAGAATGGGTTGGGTTACTGTTCCAAAAGTGACAGTGTCATCCTGTGTTAATATCTCAGTATTTTCTATGTAAATACTGCAGTTTCCTTAAGTGAATCTTTGTCTAGCATGTCTGTCTCTGGGATAAATTACATCAGCTGCAATATCATAACTGTAGTTTGAATTTCTTCTCCCTCTCTTGCCATAAACAATATGAAATTTTAAACAGAATATAAGGAGGTTGAACATTAACTTGGCCAATAATTCTAACCATTAAAACAAGGAAATTCAAAAGCAGTAACTGTACAATGCTGTGGATTGAAGGTGTCCAGAAACTGTGCACACATTTGTTTTTAGCAATCTCTGAAGTGTAAATCAATGTGCTGCTGTTACCTTATCCTTTCAATTTGAGCATTAGTACAGAAGCATGAATATCCACCCCAGCACGATAGCAGGTTCTGTTTTTAAGTTCCAGCATTGTTAACTGACTTCTTGCTGAGTGCTCTACTGGGTGTGCTCAGCAAATACATACCCAGCCAGCGTGACAAAGGGTAAGCTGCCTGTCCTGATGTGCCAGGGTGAGCAGACTTTAGATCTGGTATTCAAAAATTGAATGAAGAAAGCAGTTCTTTTAATAAGTGAATGTATGACTCTGAGCAGGTAAGACAGGTCTGTCGGTGAATACCTTTTTGTGACCTAACACACCCCTGCCTGCCAAATCATACCCATTCAAATGACAAAAAAACCAACAACCCAACCCAAAACCAAACTACGAAAAACCCAAACCAATAAAAAAAACACAGACACAAAAAAAGACAAGGCAGTTGTGTGCGCGTGAAGTGGCCAAATCTCTGAGGGGTGGGTGTTGAAAAAATGAGGTGTCTCTTCCAAAGTTAAAGCACGTCATTCCTTACTCCTTTAAGCTTAAGCTTGTGGACATCATTGTTTTCAGCGCCTGCTTTCTACAGTGATGAAGACCAAAAGAGACCTGAACATTTCCACAAGCTCTGAAAAATACATTACCTGACTATACCCCTTCTGATCTCTTGGAATAATTGCTGCAGAGTTTGTGGAAGATGCAAATGAAGATCAGCACAATTTCAGTGCAAAACAGCTTCATACAAACATACGACCCTGTTCCAGCATTCCCATTCTGTGTTAGATACTCATCAGATAAAATTGACACTACTCCATGTAATAGGGTAGAAATTTGGTTGCTTTTTGTCTTTTCTAAGTACAGTAGTCTTCTATTAAAGCACTTAGAGGCAGTGCTGTAAAAATATCCCCTTCTCATGATGAAAAAAGATAGATTAACTGTTTTAGTTCATGTATCTTTAATAAGGCAGTTCAGTTCTGTGCTGTTGTCCTCACGCTACAGAGCAACTGCGGGAGCTGTCATTAGTGATCAATGTCCCTGAGCCCTGCAGCCAAGGGCTTTGATAACCCATCACACTGGCACAATGGAAATAGTGTCCTTCAGACTTAAATCAATATTTGTATCAATTATGTGTCTGCAGCTGATTAGAGTGAACAGAAACACGGTCTGCATCACTGAAACTGAGACTGTTTTCGAGATTTTTTTCTGTCCCTTCCTTGTTGATGTAAACCAGTGTTCTTCAAAACATCTTTGTGTTTTATTTCCTTCACGATGCATGGAGTGTTTAATTTTTTTCATTTGATAGCTGTTGAGACTGGACATAATACCCTTCTTATTTCAGACTACATTCTGTTGAGACTTCAGCACTGGCTTAGGATCACTTACTAATTATAAGATGCTATAAAAAACGGTCAAGTCACTGCAGATTACTGGTGTTAAATATTGCTGTGAACAAGCTGGTTCAGGTATTATTTGAGAATGATTCTTTCATACCAGTATTTTTCATTCCACAGGGTAAGAAAATCCAGAGTAAACTGTTATGCCAGAGGTACACTTAGTAATACTGTGGGTTGGATTTTGTCTGCAGGCAGACACTTGTGCATTTCGTAGACTGCTCTGCTCTGCAGTATTCTAATAACTATACAACTAATGCACAATTTCTCTTCCTCTGGGGCTGAAGTTAGCTTGTAACTTGATATGCATCAGAGGCCACTTAAGAGGGAGAGGGAGATGATGCAGAACTGCAGGGGCCACTGAGGGCAGAAGATAGGAGTGGGCTGAGCTAAGGTGAATTCTTATGCAAAGGAAGCAGGTGGTGGGAGATGCGTGAAGGGCAGGCTGAAAACTCACCTGCTTTGATAGCCCTTGGAAAACTGTCATATGAAATATATAATAACTATGCTCCACTTGCTTCTCCTGTGTAGGAGCAGTAGGTTGAGCTTCTTTCCTTTTCCCTGATGCCAGTTTTGACAAACTCTTAGAAACTCTTTTACCGCCGAGATACCCACACAACTGATAAATTCACTTGATGCTGACTGCTGTGTTCAGAGATACTGTGAGGGAGTGACTGAGGGATGAATGGTCAGATATATGATAAATTTCTGTGGAGTCTCTCTTTAAGAGGGGCGGAGAGTACATTAATGTGATAATAGGAAGCTGGGGCAACAGTATTTAGTCCTTTCTCAGTTAATGTTTATGCAGTTGAAGACCCATTGTAAATCAAAAGTAGCTAAACCTCCCCTTCTTGAGGAAACAGGTACATTATAAAGAATACCCTGGGAAGATCTTTTTCCACCGTAGCACTGGGACAACTCATTTAAAAATCCTTACCTTAGCCTGCTCAGGATACTTACGTACAAGTCATTTCTGTTAGTATCAGAAGACAACAATTCCTTTTGTACTTGTACATAGTCATGAGAAAGCTGGTCAGGATGATAAGTTTTGTACACATGGCAGGTGGTGGTTTAAGGATTTTTTTTTTTTCTACTGTGGCATTGGAGCAGCTGAGTAACTGCTCTCTGGCCCCATGCTGGGTGGTCTCATAGGATAAAGTCTGTTGGAAACCATCAACACGCTGTTCTGCTGCCCACTTTACTTCAGGAGGTTCATCTGAGTTCAAGCGTGTATGGGGAAAGTCTGGTTGATCTGATTTAGCCTTAGTCACACAAGGAATTCAAAGCTGACTTTAAAATATTCAGTCAGCAATTCCTGGTATTTGTAACAAAGAACTGTTCAGATCATGTTCTTAGGGACAGTTTTCTTTCATCTCTGGCAGGGCAGATTCCTAATGCAGATGAGGAAATTTTGAATTGTAATATGTTATTCCAAATTGAAGCACTAAATTCCTAGGTTGCTTATTTTGACCTGGTGAACCTATAACCACTTGATTTTTCTAGGATTTTGCTTTGTGTAATAAAATATACTTTTGACTTACCTTAGGTAACTACATTTTTCCATAGTGAAAACAGGGCAAGAACAAAGTTTTTGACAGCCATTTTATCACTTTAAGAGTAATATGCTTGTCTTAAGTACCATTGTTTTTGATTCATGACTAGTTGGTCTATAAGGGTGTGTGTGACATGTGTATTTGTGCATTTAGTTAATGCTATGTGGAGTCAAATTTGAACAAGTGTTGTCACCTCCCTTTAATATCTTTCTCATTTAAGATGATTGTTCATGGGTGTCTTTAAATGCTGTCTATCTGTAGTATGTTTTGGAATTCAGGTTTATTTATAGGAAGAATTATGAAAAGGGATGAACCTTTGAGAAGTTACATTCTCTATTTGCCGTATGTTTCAACATTCTGTGTAATCTTAAATGCAAAATAAAACCTCACAAAGCAGAAACAATGAAGTATCTTGGCAGGTAACCACAGAGATTTGGGACTCTGAAATGCTGCTAGTGCCAGGTGTGCCAGTGCAGGGAATGCTTTTGTATTCTTTGAAATAAAGCCCTTTATCAGTGACATTTTGATGTCATTATTTTGGATCTGACTATCCTCTGGCAAGAACTATTTGGGCAGAGGAGAATTCTACAAGATACTGTGTTGAATGCCAGTCACGTGCAGTCCTGTGAAGTCACTAACTTGTGTTTTCTCAGTCACTGTCAAAAGTAATTCAGTCTGATGTTAGTATTAAACATAAGAAAAGTGAGAATAATTAGTTTTACATGGAATATATAAAATGAAAGAAAATATATTCTGCATGTCTCCAGAATTATTCCAATTCTTTTCTAGTTGTAACATCACAAAAGTATATTTTTCCATGAAACTAATTTGTAAACCCTGGGGAGTAAAGTAGAATATATGTTACTTGGGGTCTGTAGCACTGAACAGGTCTCATACTAGAAACTCTCTAGTTCTACAGTAAAACAAATACATGTTTGTACTATTGTTAGTAATTGTGTTAAATGCTGACTATAATTACCTGAAACGTGGAAATGTGATAGGATCAGAATTTTGTTCAGAAATTCGTGGTTTTGCAGTTTGTTTCATGTTTTGTGGAAATTCAGCACAATATTTGTGTGTCTACCTTATGTTTTCCAGGTAACTACCATTTGAAAAACTGAGGTTATAGGGTTTTTTGGTTATCTGTGCCTTGAACAATTCCAGTTAATGAATGTCAATCAACTTTTTTTTCAGTCACCCAGCATGGGCACCCTGATGGGGGTGTATTTACCATGCATGCAGAATATCTTCGGGGTTATTCTCTTCCTTCGGCTGACTTGGATGGTAGGAATGGCTGGAGTTCTTCAGTCCTTCCTGATTGTATTACTTTGCTGCTGTTGTGTAAGTATATAGGTAAAATAACACGTGACATAACTTCTGTGAAACTATTGAGAAACCTGGAGAGGCTCCATTATAGATGCGTATGTACAGAAAAGCCAGATTTATGTTAGACACTTCTGTTATGTTTGTAGTCATGTGATTTCTCTTTTTTAGTTTCTCCCCCCTAGTATTTCTAAACCATCAAACAGTAGATAAACATGTAATTAAAAATGGTGTTTGTTCAGCAAACAGCTGTTTTCTTTGCCTGTCCCAGGTAATGGCTGCTTGCTTTGCCAGATCAGCCTTTGTTGGAATTTCAGCTCTGCAGATGGAGGAACACCTCCGTTGTCTTATCTTGCCTTGTCTGCAGACACCCTTTATTTGACCTGATAAAGCAGTGGTCATCTCTCAAGCAAAAGTCTCAACAGCTTGATGACTGAATTCCTCCTACCCTTGTTTTCTTTCAGATAATGACCTGTCAAGGCAGAATAAATAGAAATATTGTATCATATGTGCAGTGACAGCTTTGCTGTATCAAGAAATAAATTATGTTTTAAAAAATGTTGATGCAATTGCTTCCTTGTCCTTGTTTTCCCCAGACTATGCTGACAACCATATCAATGAGTGCTATTGCCACAAATGGTGTTGTTCCAGGTAAGTGTCATTAGCAAACTTCTCATTTCTGTTTTTAAAAACAGAAAAAAGAGTTGTTATAAGCTGTTAATGTGGTTTTATTCTAGAGAAATTTGCTTAAACCAGGATACAAAGCCTGAATTAATATGTAGTATTTCTTCTTAGTATCAGTTAGGCTAAAGATTAATTTGGTTTTTAGTTACCCCTGTGCTAACAAAAAGATACTTCAATTGTATCTCCCAAAACACAGTTACACAGTGTATAATTCTGTTGTATTTTTGTTGTGAATATTTTACAATTTATAACAATAAATAAGTAATATTAATTTATTTTTTTTGTTTCGTAGCTGGTGGCTCCTATTTCATGATATCCAGGTCATTAGGCCCAGAGTTTGGTGGAGCTGTAGGATTATGCTTTTATTTGGGAACAACGTTTGCAGGAGCAATGTATATCCTTGGTGCCATTGAGATTTTATTGGTGAGTAGCACTGAAATAGTCCTGCTTTTAATATAAAGAGCATATAGAAAATTTCACTGTATTCATGTCCCATGTTTGTGTGCACATTCATAGGGAGACACCAGAAGGTCTCCAGTTTTTCAGTGTCCAGTTCTGTACCGATAGTGCTTCCCTTCAGAAGTTGCACACTGTGGGTATCCAGACTGGAAGCTCTCCTGAAAATATAGATGGAAGTATGCCTTAAAGACACGTGCTCATCATTGATAAAGTTGGCTCAGTTGTACTACTGAAATAAAATGGGCCATTATTCTTGGACCTTTCCTATAAATTGAAGATTCCTGGTGAAGAGCATGTGGCGAATTGGAAAGAGATTTACATTTCTAGTATAGGAACAAGATCACTACAGTAATATAGACAGAGTTCTGTTCCATGTTCCTTCAGCTTGCTTTCTTCTTGTTTCAGACATATATTGTGCCACAAGCAGCAATTTTTCATCCATCCGGTGCCCATGATGCATCCAGTGCTATGCTAAACAACATGAGGGTGTACGGCACTGTATTCCTCATCCTAATGGCAGTGGTGGTCTTTGTAGGTGTGAAATATGTTAACAAATTTGCTTCCCTCTTCTTGGCCTGCGTAGTAATATCTATACTGTCCATTTATGCTGGAGCTATCAAGTCCATCTTTGATCCACCTGAATTTCCGTGAGTAATATTTCTGGATGGGGTATATCTTTGCCTACAGGTCTGGAAGGTGGGGTTCAATGGAAGTTACTTAAAACTTGTGCATAACACATTGTCAAAGCTACATTTTTAGTGAATTACTTCCAGTTTGAGGGTTTGGGTTTTTTTCTTTTTTTTTTTTTTAAATCTGTAAATAGTGACAGTGATAGTCTTCCATATGCAGAACTCATGAAATAGAAGTTTCTTAGGCTAAAATGAATACATTATCACGTTCTTTAACTGTTTGGGAAGAATTAGGTCTCGTGGTGAGTATATAGATTGATGGAGGCTGACACTTCTCTGCTTCCTGCAAAGACAACCCAGTATCTTGGCCTACAGCTGCCGAGTTAAATTTTAGTAAGAATTTTGCTGGGTTGTTTATAGCAGTTCATAGGGAGCAGTATGGCAGGTCCATTTTCCCCAGGCCAGTCATACATGATGTGCTGCCGTCATGGCTGGAAACTGTAGTGGTGTGATGCAGCAGCTTGCTGAGAAATAGGGCATCTCTTAGGAATGTGGCAGGTGTTACGGTGGGGCCATGCTGAGGCTCCAGCAAAACTTCCCCATGGACTGAAAACAGATTAGTCTGCCATATGAGAAGCCCTGCTCTGAACACAACACATGTTCCTTGGTGTGTTGGCAGTTAAACATGTAATAGAGTTTCTTAAACTCAGAGCTGAAGCGGCAATAATACGGACACATGTGTTTTACCAGAAATGCAACAGTATTTCCTGATACTGCTGACAAGAGACAAATGGAATGGAAAGAGAGGAGTTCAGTCTGCATAATTATTCACATCTTAAAATGTTGTGACCATAACTAATGACTTGCAACCCTCAAGTGCTCCCTTTAGATATAAATGATTATAATGTTTTACAACAGTGGCAGGTTTACAGCAGTAAAAATAAAACAATGTTTCTACCTCCCCCTCATTATCTCTTGGATTGTTCTTGAATGTTCTCTCTATCTTTCTTCCTTGGGCTGTATTCCTTTTTCTTTTGCTGAAGTAACTAGATACTGTATTTATTTTTCATTCTGGAGCATAAGGCTTCTCTGAAGTTACAGTTCACAGGCCTGTGAACCCTACAAAAATGTCCCTATCTCTTCCATTTTCCTCACTTTATTGATTGATAAGACCTGTGAAACTATTAAACTTATTAAAAAGGGAAGAATTTTTTTTTTTTTCCCCCTGAGTGTTTCCTGGCACTGGGAAGAGAAGCTAAATGAACGTTTAGTGGCAGCAAGCTGTTATGTTGTATGAACATGTCTCGTGGAACTGTCTTTGGAGAAGTGGATAAAAAATTTTAAGTGCTGGAGTAAACTATGGTTTTGGTTAGGTGAAACACAACAAGCACTGGAGAATTTTAGCAGTTGTGCCTAGTATTTTCTGACAAGAACAACTTTTGCTTATTATGATAGAAAGGTATGTTCCTGTATAGCTAAAATGTCAGGGGTCATTTGAGTGCTGCTATACAGAAACTGGGATAATGTGATTCCAAATGTATTTAGACATTCTAAATATGTAGTAAATTGAATGCTAAATGTTCTTCAGATCTCTTCCACTCCAATAGTTCTGTTTAAGCCACTTTTTTTTTTTTCAGTTAATCTTTCATTGTTTAAAGTGAATGTACCAACTTTAATAAATCACACTGATGTAGCTTTTTATGCCTCTCCTAAAATTGTTGGAAAAGTAGCTTTAGAACTCTGACCCTTAATGGAGGCAGATACACAGTCTTTGTCATGTTGCCACCATCTTTTTGAAGCTGAGAAGTGATGTAGCAGACTAGAGCCACTTGAAATTCCCATGATGTGAAAGAAGAATTGTGGGAAAGGGTGGATTTCATTTTCCTGGTACCATATAATAACACTGGTTTTTATGCTTCGCTTCCAGGATTTGCATGTTGGGCAACAGGACTTTGTCAAGAGATCAGTTTGATGTTTGTGCCAAAACCATAGTTAAGGATAACATTACTGTGGCTTCGAAGCTTTGGGAGCTCTTCTGCCACAGTACAAACTTAACCACTGAGAACTGTGATGAATATTTCCTAATGAACAATGTCTCTGAGATAGCAGGAATTCCGGGAGCTGCTAGTGGCATTTTAAAAGGTATGATAGAATATTTTATTCCTTCAAAAAGGAGGCATTCTGGGCAGTTGAAATGGGTTGAACTGATCCTTGCTGGTTAGGAAAGAGGGACCGCAGAAATGTAATTACAAAGGAGAAAATTATCGTCAATAAAAAAACCCGAGTTTTACAATCTTTGGCGCTTCAGTACTTGCTTGCTGTAAGATTGAATAAATTTGCCTTGTACATCTCATAATTTCAGCAGAAAGTCAGCTGTAATTATGAGCTGTGATAATGAGTAAGTTGTTAAAATTTTCAGAACTATGTGTAGCTGTGAGTCTCCATTTTAGACAGGTTAAGATTACACCCTGAAAGATAAGAGTACTTGTATAAAAATGGTGTACCTACTCCTTTGTCTGCTCCTGAATATAATATCGTTGGAAAGTGTTAATTATTGAAATTAACTCCAGAGAACAGCTGCTTTGTGCAGGTGCTGAGTGCCTAAGGTTCTTGTTTTCATGGAAACCAGTAGTCTAGTTTCTAAAATGGATTTATTAGTGAAATTTCAACTGCCAACCTTATAATTCTGTAATTCTTCCACTGTCTAAACAATAAATCCATTTATATCTAGAAAGCTGGTCAATATTGCTGCTTTGGGTTCTCTGAGCTACTATGTATGGGTATGGTTCATTAAAAATATTCACTGTATTTCTTGGGGTTAAAATAGGTATGAAATTAAAAGAATGTTATGTTTAGTAATATTAAAGGATAAAAACTGCTTAGACTTCTGTAGGCTATTCATACATATTTATTGTTTTTGTTAGATTCTCTTGAAAGCATGCATTATAAATCTTTTCGTGTAACTAGTATATGTCCTAATTTGTGTTGATTGCTGAATTGCATGAACTGCATTTGTAATCTTCAGTTGTAGACCCATTATAATGAGAACGCGTTTGACCTGAAACATACTTTTCTTTTCTGTGGTGTGATGATAACACTGAAGACAACTTGTGGAGCAATTATATGGAGAAAGGAGAGATACTGGAGAAAGCACATCACCCATCTGTTGATGTAGCAGGCCTAAAGAACAACCTCCATCTATACGTGCTTTCAGATATAGCCACTTCATTCATGGTGCTGGTTGGCATCTTCTTCCCTTCAGTGACCGGTGAGAATACTGAATGAGAGCGCATCTTGGATCTCTGAATCTTCTTCTCTCTCATGATCTTATGCCCAAAATCTATTTTCAGGTATCATGGCTGGTTCAAACAGATCAGGTGACCTCAAAGATGCACAGAAATCCATTCCTGTTGGAACAATTCTTGCGATTGTCACGACATCACTAGTCTGTATCCTTTTAAAATTAGTAGAGTCCTGTCTTGTTGTGACTCAGTTCAATGTCTGTGTGTCTGATTTGTGGAACTGCTTTCAGGTGACTAAATTATCAGTGTGAGTATGATTGTTCAGTGAAAAAAACCCCAACAAACAGCCCTTGAGTTGAAGGCATTAGAGGTATTATCCTGTTGTTTTCCATCGCCTTTTGTAGTGTGTTTTGTTTTGTTGTGTTGCATTTCCATTCCTTTTCTTTGTTACACAGTGGTCTATAGCTTTTCAGGCTGGTGGACTACAGGTATATCTTTTTTTAGGATGCAGTGGACCATTAAGATGAGGGAAGGCTTTAAATGGGTGAGATCATAAATTTCAGTTCCTAAAAAAAAAAAAAAAAAGCCTTTTATTTTGAGTGACACTAAGGAGTATAGGCCTTTTTGAACATTTTAGGGCAAGATAAACTGGAATTAAGGTTTTATGTGTAGAGTCAGCTGCTCACTGGTACCAATGAATTTGTGTATTTATTCTGAAGTCAGTGAAACACAATCATCTTGCATCAGGACTATATATATTTTTTTTTCCCCTTGATTTCTAACAAATCCATCATATAATGCTATTCCATGATTCTTCTGACACATCCCCAGCTGGCATGTGTGGAAGTGTTACAAACACCATGCTCAGTAACAAGCTCCACGTAGCTGTGACTCGCTGTTTCCTGCCTGTTTCCACTGAGCCTGGAGCACTTCATTTGCAGAATATGAAGATGTTCCTCATACCAGATTCATAGATGCTGAGTGAGTGTTCAGAGGAACAGCCTTTGTCCCAGTCAAAGTTGCTGGGTTTTGTATGTGCTTAAACTCTTCAGGGCTTAGCACCACAGGAGCTTTGCTTAGGAAAGACTGTCTTAATTTCTTCTCTCCTGCTAGAGAAGAGATGAAGCCAAGGTCTTCCAGCATCATCTAACTGTTGGTGTCCAAAACTACAGTTTAGCAACATAGGAGATTAATTGCCTTTTGCATTTTCTTTTTTTTTTTAATGAGCAAGGACTTCAAAACTTCTCTGTAAGAGCTTTCTGAATAAATCCCACCCAGAGGGCAGCTGGCTGAGATGGTGACTCTTCTGGAAATTCTGCTGTTTTGAACCTGTTTTTCCCAAAACTTGCCAAGCTGTAGATCAGGATCCCAGCTCACGTCGCAGGTTCTTAGGAGCACAGCCTTTTCCAGATGTTACTCTTGGACGTGACCCTGTATCAAGAAGTCTGCATTTCCTATGAACGTAATAAATATTGAAACAGGTCACAGATGTAACCCCCAGCTCTAGTGTTAAAAAATTTGCAGCTTGAAACTTACTTTGTGGTGGGTAGCTTTATATGTAGATATTGATACGCCACCCAGTGGAAGGCTTACAGCATAATTTTTAGAAGTGATCAATCTTTCCCCTTTTATTAGTCTTTGTATTTTACAATTGCATTTCAGGGGTAGAGGGTAGAGTTTAGGATTTAGCCAGTCATGTAAACTTAAATTACAAGACAAAAAGACTCTATTAGAGTGTCAGATCAAAAAAACCTGAAATATTTTGTACTCCCCGATGCATAAATAATACAGTTTAATAACAAACCCAATATTCAAAGACTTATTAGTGATGTGAATGCTGTCAAAGACTGCAAAATGAGAAAGTGCAAGGTAATGGTTTGCTATATCTTCAAAATATCTTCAGACACAAGAAAAGGAGAGAGGAAAGAAAGGTATTTTAGTATCAGTTTCCGCTATATACCAGCAGATTAAATTGATGTTTACATATAAAATTATTTTCTTTGAAGTTATCGCTTTTATTGTAACATTTTAAACTATCTTTTTCAAAAAGTTAAAACTTAACTAAGTTAAAAACTTAGAATAATAACTTTATCGCTTTAACATTATCAGGTATATATGAGTAGTGAGACATTAATTTACTCACCAGCTTTACTTATGGAGATCCTGCACTGTCAGTGCCATAGGACAGAGGCACTTTGAAAGTATTGGACTTCCCACAATACTTTCTATGCTTGTTTTTGTCTGCCACATCTAAATAAATCCTATTTCCTTAGCACACTCTGTACTCAAGACTTCAGTTGTGTATTATTATTTGGAGCCTGCATAGAAGGTGTGGTCCTGAGAGATAAGTAAGTTTTACAGCTTTATTGCTCTCTTTTTTGCAGGGAATGTGTGTCTCACCACCCCTGGTGCGCCCCCCCCCCCTTTTTTAAAAAAAAAAAAACCCAACATATTTGTATGTAAATTGTAAACACTATTTTGGGAATCTTCTTGTATTTGATTTGATATTTTCTGGCATGGCTCCCTCAGATTTTTTTATCCCATGTCTTAATTCCTCCCCCCCAACCTATTTTGTCTTGTGTTGATGCACCTTTGTCAGTTTCCAGGGGTACTTGTTCAAAGAGCAAATCCCTAACAGTAAACTATAATAAACTATAGATTTATTACTTTTCTTTCTTTTCCCTAGAGAAGCAAGATAGAAAACAATAAAAAATAATTCCTTTTTTTTTTTTTCAGATGAACCTTTTTTTTCCCCCCCCTCATTTGTTCTCCTCTTTGTTCATTACTGAGTTTGGCAAAATTACTCTTTGCAAATTGCTTTCTACCTTCATTGCCATCTGAGGTACTACTTTTTTTTTTTTGTAGAAGTACTGGTGACATCAACACTCTATGCCAAATAGCTGGAATTATTTTAGTCGACATTATGTTAGCAATTAATCTTTCTTACGCTAGCTGACCATGGTCCCCTAAGTCAATGACCAGTATAATGTATGTTCCCTGACCCCCCCCAAACCCCAAAAAACACCCCCCAAAAAAAGGCATTCTGTATGTAGTAACTAAGCAGCTATTTGACGTTATGCTCTTGGAAACCAGATCTACTTTCCCTAGTTTGCCCAGTGTTGAAGTGAAGGTCAATATCTTTTATTTTAATGCATTTTCTTTTGTTAAAAACTAGGAATATTTTTAAAGGAGTTTGAATAGACATATATGGTCATTTTATGAGCAAGTCTAACATCATAAGTGAAGCACAGAATGCCATGAGACTAATTTGACTCCTTGCTCTAGAGAAAATAGTATGTAGGAAAATTACTGTTGTTTTTTAAAATGTTTTCATTTCGGTTTGGTTTGGGTTTTTTTCCCCTCATTATAATCTTATGAAATACTTGGAAGATATGCTTAATGTTTCTCTTTCTTCAGGTTTTTGGTCATGGAAAAGCAAATGGTGAACCGACATGGGCTCTTCTTTTAACAGCATTAATTGCTGAGCTGGGAATCCTTATTGCTTCACTTGACATGGTGGCTCCAATTCTTTCAATGTAAGAAACAGGGTGGTTGCTATTTAAGGGAGGAGGAGAGAAGGAGCAATGCTCTCTTGAGTTTTGCTAATATGATTGTCTTCCAGAACCCTATCTTAAACCAGTAAAGCAAATTACTGGAGCTTCAGTTCCACTTTTATTGTTTGTATGAATTCTCTGACTTCAGGCTCTGCACATAAATCTGTTTCTGCTCTGGAGTATTCTCTGAATAAATATGTTTTTAGTATTGCTGGATTGTTACTTTCTTTGGGAAGATATTTTTATCACAGAACAAAGTGTTGATGTTGGGGATAGATCTAACTTGATCTGATTAAAAAAAACTGTTCTCATTTATACTGATAATTCAGGCTAATAAAAACCAGAGGGATAGTCACATGTGACAGGGCAGCTGTATTTTGACTGTAAATCATTCACATTATTATAATATATGCCACAATCTATAGGTGTGTGTGCTAAGAAGTTTTGTGCTTTTTTTACTTCTGCAGGTTTTTCTTGATGTGTTACCTCTTTGTTAATCTAGCCTGTGCAGTACAAACACTTCTTAGAACTCCAAACTGGCGGCCCCGATTTAAATACTATCACTGGTAAGCAGAACGCCAGCAGGCTCAACACCTGGTCTGTAATCTGTAGTGTGGGTTTTGGAAGAGCCCTCTGCGTGAGGGTTGTGGCCATGTTTTATTTTTCTGGATATCAGTTCTAGACAAGAGCGCACTGATGTAATATTCATAGTGGGCCAGGCACAGATATTTAATGGCTTGAGAGTTTCATTTCAGCAGCAGGATACTAAAACGGTTGGGGACTGGAGAGATTCATTGGAAGCTTTACTTTCACTACCAGTTCAGAATAGGCAATTTAAATTGAAAACAGCAACATATAATTGAGATGTTTCTTAAGCTTTTCTACCCCACTACTCACTAATATCTCTGCTTTTTGTTTTAGGGCCCTCTCGTTTTTAGGCATGAGTATTTGCCTGGCACTGATGTTCATTTCATCTTGGTATTATGCTTTGGTAGCTATGCTTATTGCAGGCATGATTTACAAGTACATTGAATACCAAGGGTAAGTAATAACTGGGTAGAAAAGGGTAGGAAGGAGATTGGGTCTTTTTTTTGTGAATTATCTCTGGCCTTCACATTTGGAAAATGAACTGTCCAGAGATACGACTTAGAGGGCTTCCCTTACTGGTTAATTTTGTTTCATTGTTTTGCTGTGTCAGTACTAAAAAAAAAGCTGCTGAGTGCATTGTTGTTAAGCCTCTAAAGGTGTTTGGTAAAACTCGAGAGTCACAGGAAGCAGAATCCTGCTTGGGATCTACCCCTCTGCTCTCACACGCAATTACTTTGGGCCCAGAACAGGTGAAGGCAGCCATCTTATTCCAGTTTATCTGGTGCAAAGGTCTGTCTAGAATAGTCCTTGAAAAACTGAATCTGCATGTTAGATTGCCTGAGATGGTTAATATCTGATGGAGTCAGGCTGTAGTATGGCTGTATAACTTAATTTTAACAAGTCAGGTATTGAATTATTTGCTGTAGGTTTATACTTGGGAGTGCTGATAAATTAAACGAGGAATGGTGGTGTTGTGGTATACATTTGACTGAAACATCTGTAGTTCTTTCATGTGATGTGTGGTATCACATACATACATGTACAAATGATACACAGCATGCATCACATGTATGTTTATCATATTAAACTCATTATAAGGTAATGATTTATCTACAGCATGACTGTAAGTGTGCAATTACAGCATGACTGTAAGTGTGCAATTAAGTGCTCATGAAACCATATGTTGGCTAAATTGTGTGTTCTTCACAGTGCGGAGAAGGAATGGGGTGATGGTATCCGAGGTCTTTCACTCAGCGCAGCAAGATACGCCTTGCTCAGGCTGGAGGAGGGCCCTCCACACACAAAGAACTGGAGGTACTCCTTTTAGACTAATAAAATGCACTGTCATGATTATCTATGTAAACTGGAATCTTAACACGATGCTTTTGGTTTGTGTGAATTAATTTAAATGCCCAGAATATTAAGGGAAAAAAAAAAATATGGTATTGAGTCCGCAGTAAGCTGTCCTGTTACTGCCCAAGCCATACTGTGTGGGCCCTGTATGGGCAGAACTTCTCTTGTCCTTTGAATCTTTAATTAGATTCTGAATTGGTGAATTCAGAAGTGGAACTTGGGGAAACTGTGGAGGTTGCTGAGTACAGAGGTCCAGAGGCCCATGGTAATTTGCAGTGGGGCACAAAGAAGTCACTGCTATCATTCTGGGATTAAAAACCGGAACATTTCTCCCTCCGGCTTTGTGTGTTGAAGACAGATGAAGTGGGCAAGAACCCTTTTCTCAGCTATGCATCGCACAACTCAGGCTCTGAACAATAGGAGCAGGAATCTACCAAAGAAGAGTTACAAATCTTTTTATATTTGCTTAACCATAGCTTAAGAGCAAAAATAACTTAATTGATGTATAGCAATACCTTAAGGGACAGAGAGCAGGTGAGATCTGTGTTTAGGTGAAAATATTCATATTTCTCAACTGTTTGGCACAAGTATACAGATAGATCTGGGAGGACAGCCTTGCAGTATGAGCACAATGTCTGCTCTGATAATACTTAAAAGTGCCTTGAGAATCAACCACGTAAATACAATACTAATGCAAACCTCTTAACCTAAATACGTGAACAGGTTTTATGACTGTCAAAACAATGCAGCGGTAGAATTCCCTTAATGCCTCAAATCTGCTTTGAATCAAGAGAAATAAAATATTAATTAAAAGCCCTCTAATGTGTGGGACACAGAAAGAATGTACTCCTTCAGAGTTAATATTCAAGCACAATTAAAGTAAGGAGAGAGGCAGTTTTTAAAAATGTTTTTGTTAAAGCATTAGTAAAAAATACATTCCCTTTTTTATTTTCTCCAGGCCTCAGTTGCTGGTGCTTCTGAAACTTGATGAAGATTTGCATGTAAAATACCCTAGATTGTTAACATTTGCATCCCAGCTGAAAGCTGGCAAAGGTTTGACTATCATAGGATCGGTGATCCAAGGAAATTTCTTGGAAACTTATGGAGAAGCCCAGGCTGCTGAACAGGTCAGTGTTTGAAACAAATTGCTAGAGTAAAAAGGGGTGAGTGGGCAGATAATTTAAAACTTTCATAATAATACATGGGAAGAAGCATATCAATAAAGCTTCCATAGAGTATATTTGAGTAGTACTACTACAGCTGTTCAATAAAGGGCTTGCAAACATGTTTCAGTTGCCAGTTGTGGCTTTGGAAATACAAGATCAATGTTGCAACTTGTATAAACAGCCTTACTGCATAAAACTGTCTTAATTTATAAGAAATAATTACTGTGGAAGTTTATGTATACTGACTAATGGAGAGAAGAGGACTATTTAGTTTTCTGAACATACCAAGAAACATTTCAGTAACTCAGCTTTCAAAACTTAGCAAATGTGCTGTCTCTTCAAGCGTGGTGAGAAATTCATTACAAAAAGCATTAAAAAGCATTAAAGGATGGTCTTGAAAATTTCTTAATAAATAATTTCATCATCTTTACTCTGTAACCATGACATCATAGCTCTGTTTACATCTGTATAGTATCAGCCAGCACATCACTGTTTTCTTCCTTAGAGGCTTTTTATACAAGGAAAACAGTTATAAAGGGAAAACTGATTCATAGGCCTGTGTGTTGACCAAGTTTGTTTAGTTTTTAACAAATTAAGGGTATGGTGTTCTTGATAGGTGTGATGGGTTTGGAGCTCATATTTGTAAATTGAACATAATAACACAGCATGTTACATAGAAATATGAAACTGGAAATCCAAATGAAGTTAGTTAACCTCACTTTAAAAGGTGAGTGTTTTAGAATTCGAGAAAACAAAGTGAGATAGTAACACAGATATCACTAACTACTACTATGAATAAGAGATTATCGCACAAACCAAAAAACCCTTATCTTGATCTGATAGAAATCATGATGTCTGGAAGGGAACTACGTGTGTTTTAAACAAGTAGTATTCACAGTTAGTGCGTATTTTCTGTTCTGCTAAGGAAAGTGGATAAGCAGAACTTTGCCTTGAAATGTGTTCTACCTGTGGACATGTGAGTCAGGAGTTCACGCTGTAATCACATGATAGAGAAATATTTAAAGATCCCTTTGGTTGTGAGATTTTTCCTTCTCTGTCTTGCAGACTATTAAGAATATGATGGACATTGAGAAGGTGAAAGGATTTTGTCAAGTAGTTGTAGCCAATAAGGTTCGAGAAGGAATTGCCCACTTGATCCAGTCCTGTGGACTGGGTGGCATGAAACATAATACTGTGGTTTTGGGATGGCCGTATGGCTGGAGACAGAGTGAAGATCCAAGGTCATGGAAGACCTTTATAGGTGAGCTTTAAAGGGTCTGTGTGATCAGACATTGTGAACAGAGATGTTTATTACACACATGGTAAACACAGGGGATTTCAGCAGAATCCTTGTGAAATTGGTTTTGATTTTTAGTCTGTTTTGTATTGATTGTGAAGTAGATAATTTCTCGCAAAACTGCTCTATGTTTGAAATATTACTTGTAGGTAAAAGACTTACGAAAGATTTTCAAATATTAATCTAGCAGCTAAAATTAATCTTTCTGATGAGTGTTAAAAAAATTACAGACTTAAGAGATACTGTTTTTATGGTAAACTATAATTTGTTTCCTAGATAATATCTGTCTTTCAGAGGTCCTGGCCTATTCATCTCTCTTCGCTAACACTCTCCTTGCCTATATCCCTGTCCTTCCCCTATAGTCAAATTAGAGCAGAGCTAATGCTTTATCCTCATACTTAGCTTTGAAGATTCCTGCTTTTATTTCAAACATGATTTCAGGCTTGTGTTCCTGTAAGTCTGCTTTATCCTACCTTTGTTATGTGGTCTGACCTGTCTATACAAGCCTTGCTATATGCTTTTTTTAATGTAAGTGATGACTTTTATGGTTTGCTGACATTTGCTCAGTGAGTGACTTTTAGTTTTGTTAAACCGTACATCACTCTTTCAGAATTGGAAGTTTCTTTTCCTTTTTGGCAGGTACTGTTCGCTGCACAACTGCAGCCCATCTGGCTCTGCTGGTTCCCAAAAATGTGTCTTTCTACCCCAGCAACCATGAGCGTTACAATGAAGGCAACATTGATGTGTGGTGGATTGTGCATGATGGAGGCATGTTGATGTTGCTTCCTTTTCTTCTCAAACAGCACAAAGTAAGGAGCTAGCCAAAGAATGTTTGTCACCCCTCTCTTCTGTGTGCATTAGCTTAAAGGAACAATATCTGGTAGCAGAGCGTGAATTGATAAATGAGAGTGGATATATTGTTGAGTTTCTCTCTTGTAGAGCAGTATATTGTTGGTTCAAATACCGAGTTTATGTTCCCTCACCAGGTTTGGAGAAAATGCAAAATGAGAATTTTTACTGTAGCTCAGATGGATGATAACAGCATCCAGATGAAGAAGGACTTAGCTACTTTCCTCTATCAACTCCGAATAGAGGCAGAGGTGGAAGTGGTAGAAATGGTAAGGGATTTGAGCCCGTTTCTCACTTTATGATGTAAATAGTGGTATATAGTTATGACTTGGTTACAAGCACAATATTTTTTTTTTTTCTTATTTCTGCAGCACAATAGTGATATCTCAGCATATACTTACGAGAGAACTCTTATGATGGAGCAGAGATCTCAGATGCTGAGGCAAATGAGACTGACAAAAACAGAGAGGGAAAGGGAGGTATGTAATTTGTGGTTGATTATTGTGTTTGCTGAGATGGATGACACAAAGTACCTTCCTGGTAGTGTGTTATATAGCTGCTGCTTAAATTTAACTCCTGTGTTCTAAAGATGTAAGGAAATAGTGTAGCTTTTTTGTTTCCCAAAATTGCATGTAGTCATCAAATAGCCTGACTGCTTGCAAAATCATGCTAGGAATTAATTATTTTGTGGAAAAACAATGGTGGTATGTATGCTGTAGAAATTATTTCTGTGTTCCTCTTGGTGATGTAAGTGATACTCGATGACTTAAGGATATAAGTCTCAACCCATTCTTGACCTTGGTTTTGCTTTATGTGGATTGTCTGGGGTTTGTTTCATTTTATAGTATATCCTGTTTTCCTACTGTAGATTTAATTCCAGTTTAGACTGTTAAGATATGTAGCTATGCAAGGTGCAGATGACGTAATTTTTCTGCATGTGTTTGTCCAACTTTTTTTGTTGTCAATTTTGAGTCAGCCTTGTCCATTGTTTCAGACCATGTCATGTTGTGGGCCTAGACTGTCTTTTTTTCTTGTATAGATCCAGGCCTCTGTTAGGCCAAATCCTGCATGGCTTAAACCCATCAAAACCGAGGCTTTCAAGCTGGAGAGGGACTTTTTATAATGTCATGTAGTGATGGCACAAGGGATAACGACTTTAAACTGCAAGAGGATAGATTTAGATTAGATGTGCGGAACAAATTCTTTCCTGTGAGGGTGGTGAGACACTGGCAGAGGTTTCCCAGAGCAGCTGTGGCTGCCCCCTCCCTGGCAGGGTTCAAGGCCAGGTTGGACGGGGCTTTGGGCAACCTGGGCTGGTGGAAGGTGTCCCTGCCTGTGGCAGGGGGGTTGGGACTGGATGATTTTTGAGGTTCCTTCCAACCCAACCCATTCTCTGATTTTATGAAAACTGTTTGGTATGTAATACTATTGACTAGGGTAGATGTGTGCTATCAGAGCTGTCCTAAAGGCTAGGTTGGCTATACAAGATAAAGGATACAATGAAACAAAAGGTCCTTCACTGCTTAAACAGAACCTGAGAATGTAAAATAGAGTCTGTGAGTTCACCTTTCATTCATGTGCCCTCTAGGCTCAGCTGGTAAAGGACAGACATTCAATAGCACGTCTGGAGAGCCTCTACTCAGATGAAGAAGATGAGGGGGACCCAGTTCCTGAGAACATCCAGATGACCTGGACAAAAGAGAAATGCGACGCTGAGAAGCGGAACCGAGGCAGTGCTGTGGGAAGCTTTAGAGATCTCATCAGCATTAAGCCGTGAGTCTTGTCTAAATCAACAGCTCTCACCTCCTGAAACTCTATATGTGCTGTGCTTTTATTATCTTTTGTCTCCTAATCCTTGGTTTAGACTTGCACAATAAACGTTGAGACCTGACTACTGAAAGACAGCAGTTAGCCTCCTGAGAAGTCTCTAACCAGTTAAATGTGGCACACATCCCTCAGTAGTTTACTTGATACAGTCAGATTCTAAACTGGAGCTGTCAAATCCTATTTTAACTTTCCCTCTGTCTCCCAAATACCTGAACAAAACACGCAATTGAAAACCAGACTGATAATTTCACTATCTAACGTGTAGTGCAGATGTTTAACACAGCAAGGAAGAAACTGTGGAGATGGTGATGAATGACTTGTGAATAGAATATGCGTGTGATAAATCCCTCTGACAGACTTGTTGAAGGAGCACTGACATGTAACAACAGCCTTAGTATTACATGTGTGTATCCCTTGAAAAGGCTAGAAGTAAAGCTCTCTTTTGGCTTTGTATAAAAATGTGTGAATCTCCTGTGACCTCTTTGGTGTAATACATCTTACACAAAGAGTTCACTCAGTCAGTTTTGCATACTTGGCAAAGTTCCGGATTTTTCTTCCTAATAAATCACTTGAGAATTCAAATCTGTTTTTAGGCTGAATCATACTGTAGAAATTCTGCTGAATTTGGTGTTAACTACCTGTACTTTTTCCTCTTCCATGCTTTCAGAGAGTGGGAAAACTTGTAAGTTTGTTATTTAACTTAGAAGTACATTAAGATGGTTGAGAGGGAAGACCCAATTTTCTCATCTAAAAGCAGGAAAACTACATCTAATTATGGAAGGAGTTAGAGTTGAGCAGTCTTAGCAATGTTTTTAAAAGGAGCAGGATTAGCCACGTAAGCTAAGTATCATTATAAACAGCACATAACAAACTACAAGAGTTGTCCTGACAAGAATTAAGTCAGAATAGAAAACAATTACAGGTCTGAACCTATTTTCTTAAGCAGAGTAATGCACATGAAGTAGGAAACATTACTCATTTAGACAAGCTCTTGTTCCACAACACTGCTCTGATGTCATTTCTGGCAGTTTCCGGGCACCAAACAAACCCTTTCTTACAGCCTACACCTTCAAATCACTGGGAAGATGCCGATTTTAAATGTCACTCTAGAGAATACCAAACCTTTAGTTTTCAATTTCTTTTCCAAAACTGTATGTCATTAATAACACTATATTGTTTCTGGTGCTGGCTTCTTCCTTACTTCCTGTAAATATAATCTGGCCTCTCTGTTGTCCCTGGCTTTCTGAAGCTGACATGGTGAAGACAGAGGATGTCCTTGCTCTAAATTAAGAACATGAAATAACAGAGAGGTGACTCACAGTGGGTAGATTGTGCTGTTAGAAGATGTAATAGTAAGAATAATGTATATTATACTATCTTAATCTATATATTTCTTTGTAAACCTAAATATTTGCAAGAGCAGCAAGGTTACTAAAGACTTTCATTCATAACATGGAAAGCTGAATTAACAACACTATAGATTCATATTTGATACATTTCTACTAATACTTGTTTTTAATATATTAAAATGAAGAAAAAAAGTAGAAAATCCTCAAAGTTGAAAATATCTTCTCCCTTTGATAAGTCTATTTCTGTATGCTTTTTCCTTTTCCATTACCAAAATAATGGTTGATTTCCTCCTGTAGGAAGGAAACATTTCCCTGGCTCAAAATTCCCAAAGGATACTTTCCAGTTCTGTTCCTGCATGAATTGGTGTTATTTTGTGATAATATAGTCTTAATAATTAATCCTGTTACCTCTCAGCCTGTATTCTTAAGGAGCAGAGGCTTAGAGATCATGCTGCATGTATTCCCTTCTCTCCCATAACTTTTTAACCAAGTGGCTACTCAAGTTTGAAAGCATGATTGAGATTTTAAAGATACTTGGGTCATAAATGTTACTTGTAAATAGCCAGGCAAAGAGGTTGATTAGTGCCCAACTGAAGGAAATGTTAAAATCCTTACTATCAGCCAGAAAAACCCCATGAGCAGGCATACATTCAGCCATTTGGAGGCTGCCTTCTAGCCTATGGATCTGTAGCAAACCAGGCTTTCTCTGGAGATGTCAACTGCTGTTCAACACCAAAAGACAAGTGCACTCATGGGAAGTGTGGGCTGAGCACAGTGGTGCCAGTCTCCTACTTGGTTCCACCAGGTCTCAGAGAGAGTTTCCTGGTACTGAGTCCAGAGGGGCATGGTCTGGGCTGCTTTGGGAGGGAGGGGGTCTGGAGACTGCTGTCTGAAGAGAAGGCTCTGTGGTCACAAGTGTCCACAGTCAAAAAACATGTGCCCTTGTGCAAATGTGTTTTAACTTCTTCTGCAAGACTAAATCATCTTTATAAAAATATGCTACTTGAAGACCAATATAACTTCATAAACTGGAGACGTGACTCCAGGGATCTTAAAACCAATGGATTTAGCTGTATGTGAAGAACTCTGTGAAACCTCTTTTGTATCTTCATCATTAAGTTTGAAAAAAATTACTGTATGTTGAGTTGACATTTCACAGGGTATTTAGGAGATACAAGGTGTGCTTTTAAGAGCCTTTCTAATAATTGAGCTTTCAGAGGCATGTTTCTAACAGTAAGTCTGAATGTGCTTCTTCCACAGGAACCAGTCCAATGTCCGAAGAATGCACACAGCAGTGAAGCTAAATGAAGTGATTGTAAATAGATCCCATGATGCCAGACTTGTTCTCCTCAATATGCCTGGTCCTCCAAAGAATACAGATGGTGATGAAAACTGTATCCTTTCAGGAAAGGCCTGGTCTACATAGAAGATCTTTAATCTGCGCTCTTGAATTCATTTTGTTACAAATACTGTGAAGCTGTAATATGTGACAAAGTGTTCACTGAGTGGAGGGTACTGTTATGTAGTAATGTTGTGGCTGTTATATAGTAATTGTTAAAGTAAAAGTTGCCACTGGTTGATTTGGAATCCGTGTAGGTTTGAATTCAGTCTTGTCTAAATTCCTACTTGATTTATTTCTCAAATTTAATTAATTTAATTCTCAATAGTGGATGTAGCAGATGTTTAAGAAGGCATTGACAGCAGACAGCACTCTGGCAGAGCAATGATTGAACTCGAGTCCTGAAGGAGAGGGTGTAGCTTGGGCATAGCTCACACCTCAGAGTCTGGGAGCTTGGCTCCAAGTGCAGTGCTCTGCTAAGATTCAAGTTCAAACCTACAGTGTTTAGGCACTTAAAGGGATATTTGCACCATGCCCCTAAGCAAGGCCAGAGCTGAGGGTTGTGATCTGGTGAGCCTGTTGATACAGCAGTTCTTTGTCCATGGCTGCTCTTCAGCCTTGGTTTGTATCATTAAATTAGCAAGACTTTCTCTAGTCTCCGAAAAAAAATGACAAGTAACAAATCGCAGACCAAATGATTATTTTTTCCTAGATCTATCTAGTAGTAGTAGTAGTAATAGCTGTTTCATAACAATGTGCTGGCCAAAGGAAGGATAAAAACATTCCTTTTGGCATAAGGGTATTTCAACCACAGCTGTGACAGCTCAGGAGAGACTTTAAACTTGAGGTTATGGGTGAGGATGCTTACTTCTCCACCCTTCCCTGGAGAGGCTGAGCCACAGTGGCTGAAAAACAGTCAATATTCATGAAGAGCAGCTGGGAGGGAGTGTGACTGTGTAGCCTGGTGCCACCAGCATCATTGATGTGCTGAGCTTTGGGCAGTGGCGGGTTCATTTTGGAGCTGGCTGACACTGGCCCTGTCTGACATGGGGGCAGCCCCTGGTCTTATCTCAGAGAGGATGCCCCTGCAGCCTCCCTGCTGCCAAAACCTTGCTACAGAAACCCAATACAGGGCTAATCACTGTGTGTTTTGGTTTTGTTATTTCTTTTGTCCTTGACTTTACTGAAACAGACATGGAGTTTCTTGAAGTCCTGACTGAGGGTCTGGAGAGAGTATTGCTTGTTAGAGGAGGCGGCCGAGAAGTCATCACAATTTACTCCTGATTTAGTACAAGCTTCTAATGCTGGTCTACATTTACCTTCTTGGCGATAACGGACATTCCAGTTTTAAATGGAGAAGAAAAAAAGGTGTTTTGCCTAACTTTCTCCTCATCCAGTCCTATTCGTTGTCTTTCCATTTGCAACATACATATCTTTTGAGATTTGCAGTATTGTTACACCCTCCAATTAGCAACATAAGTTAATTGTGAAGTTGCCACATTATTCAGTTTCTGCTTTGGTACTTCAGCATTTGTGCATGTAGTTTTAACACTAAACCTATTTTTAGTCAGCACTGCGTTGTGCAGTATTTTTAGTAACTGTATGTAAAGTTAGGACATGAAAGCCAGTTACTGTAAAAAGATTTTAAAAGCTTTTTATATTAGGTTTGGGGGATAGAATTACATTATATAGCAGCTAGTTTCTGCTGAAGTTCAGCTATAAAGCATTTTCTAAGAGCACACTAAATTGTAAGAGAGGACTGAAAAAAGCTTTGTTTTTCTGGGTTTATTTCCAGAACTAAACTCTCAGTATTGGATAAGAATTTATACTTTTAATACATTTATTGATAGAGATTTAAATAAATTATGTTGATATAGTTGAAATTATGTATGTAGCTTGCTACAAATTGTGTTGCTTCTGAGACTGGAGGTTCTGTGAGGCCAGATCCCTATTTATTTTTGTATTTATTTGTCAGAAATATTGGATACGCTGATGCAGACTGTTTAGGGTAACAAAGATCTCACAATAAATTTTGACTCATCAGTGCATTGAAGGACCAGTCCTGTGCAGTTTTTCCATGCTTTAAATTTCTTGCAGACCATCCATCAAAGTACATTGAGCATGTTGGAGTCCCGTGTGTAGAGCCAGGTGCTACGCTGCACGCACAGCGATGGGATTGCACTTGCGCAAGTACAGGGGACCTGCTGCTTCATTGTATGCTTTATGCCCTTAGAGGAAAAAGAAGACAAGAAGACCTATATTAACCAATAAGTCTCTGGAGATTTTATCAAGCCCATTAAGTTGTACTTTATGTACAGAACATTCGTATTTTTTCAATAAAATGTTGCATACACTTTGAAACTATGTTCTGTGTGCCATGGTGAATTCCCTAGGAAGACCCTCTCTGTCCTTCCCTGTGCACCGCTGCTGTGATCTGACTTCAGCTCACCAGCACCAGTGGAACCACCATGTGAGGAGCAGGCGTGAGGGGAAGGTGGTGGGGATGTGTTGGTGCTGGTGCAAGTGCTGCATGGGAGAGGTGCCAGCTGAGTCTTTGAAGCAGCCTGGTGGCGTGCGGAAGTGAGTCAAGGCTCCTGGCTCTGGAGTTACTACCATGTGTGATAGCCAGGAGGAACGCCGCACCTGGCGATGATGAAACACAAGCTGATACCCCTCAAGATTGCCGGCTGGCTGGGAAAGCAGAACTCCCATACAAGGGACACGTGTGGGCAAACCTCCATGGGATGCAGTAGTGGTGGTGTGGGAAGAAAGGTGGGGACTGATGCCTTCCTCTGACCCATGTGCCTGCCTTTCCTGGTTAGCATACTCGTTCTGTCAGCCCTGTTGTGATAGTACTCCCAGTTGTTTAACTGATAACGGCATGACCAATTTGTGAGACAGAAATCTGAAAAACTATTCAGGCTTTTATCTTGAATAACATAGTAAATGCTGTTTTAAAAGATATTTCTACTTAAAACCTAAGTCTGTTCTCTCTGTGAAACAGGACATACCTGATGGGAGCAGGATGGTATTAGTGTGTGCAAGATCCCTGCAACACAACAGCCAGGAAACAAACAACTCCAGGGTGCGCTTCCTACTGGATTTTTATTTTATTTTTTTAACCAACCGCTTTTTTTTTTTGGGGTGGGGTGGGGTGGGGTGGGTGTTGAAAACCAAAATTCATTTTGCTACATTTTAAAACCAAGGGAAAGAACAAAACTTAGTTATTTGTAAATAGAATTTTTACATCTTTAGAGGACAGAGTAGTGGTATGCAAGTGTACAGCAATCATGACAGTTAACACCTATTTGCAGGCATTCTTTTACAGGAGTAATAAAGTTTCTGAAAACTTTTTTTATTCCTCAGGCTTTTGTAGGTCTGAGATATTAATTTTATTTTACCAGATGTAAACCTCTAATATAGACATGCTAAGAAATATATAAATTTACTGCTTATGAAATGTTATGCTTTTGGATGACCTAATGCCACAGAAGCATTTCAATGCCATCTGTTACCTGACCCAAGTAACCCTGTTTGTGGCTTTACTATGTTTTTAACATCAAACAAACCAAGTGAATATCCTTCCAGAGGTGATTCTATTCAATGTGGGTTAAAAAAAACCCTAATTCAGAATTGTGTGGACCCCAAGGATTTTACAGGCTCCCATTATGTAAGACTTCTCTGTAAACAAGGTTCAAAGTAAGGGGCTTACCCCAAAGTGCAGAGTCTAGGGC